GTGTTCCATTTCATTTCCCTTTGGGGTTGCTGTAGGTGATCTGGAAGTCTGGTTTTGAGACTTATTTATGTCTTTTCTCATTTCAACTGGGGCAGAGGGCTGTTAGTGCCTGCACGGATTACCTCCTCTGAGCTGGGTGAAGTGTGACAGGGGCCGGGAGCAGCAGTAGGGATGGTGACCCAAAAGCCCTTTCCTGTGGGCTGGGAGCAGCAGGAGGGATGGTGGCTGGGAAGCCCCTTTCTCTGGACCAGAAGCAGTGGGATGGCCACTCAGAAGCCCCTCCCTCTTGGCCGAGAGTGGTGGGAAGGATGGTGGCCTAGTAGCCCCTTCCTCTGGGCCGGGAGCAGCGGGACTCAGTACCTTGGTCTGGTGATCTGGTGTCCTCTGCATCTTTGTAGTCTGGAACCAGGTGGTTGCCTCTCTGCAGGGGGCTGATTAATTGTCTTCTGCCGGACTCAGGACCTCGGTAGGGTGTGCACAGACCTGCCTGTCTGCATCGGGCTCAAACTATACTTAATTTTATCTCTACAATCCCATTTGGCATACATGCAATCTATAATCCTGTAAGAATTTTATATTCTTAACTTCCAATGAATATCAAGAGACGCCTATACTGCAGATGAAGCATGTTCAAACTCTTTCCCCATAACCCCAGAAGGAATAGGTATGAATCACTGAAAACTTCAGAGTAGGGTAGCAGAAGGGCAGTCAACCACTAAGGTAATGGTATATGTTTAATGACACTTCTGCCCACACACGCCTATTGTATCTGTTTAGGTCACCCTTTTTGTAGTAGCCCAGGACAATGAACTCCTGAATCTGGATTGCTAGAGGACAGCTGAGGTACAGGAGAGAATAGAATATGGGCAAGCAGAGGAGCTACAGCCAAGCGGTAGAGTGAGTGCTCTTCTGCTAAGGAAGTACGGCTGTGTACCAGTCCCATTGAGATGTGGAGGCATTTACCTTCATCCTACAAACTGTGAAAGTGACAGCATTTTCCAGACCATCTTCTGAAACACTTGTCTTTATTCTTACAAGAAGTTAGTTCAGCAAGGTTCCAAATGAGTGTTCACAGCTTTTGTTTTAAACATCAGTGATAGAATGTGACCATGAAAAGTTCAAATTGTGGACACCTCAAAAGCCAATTTAGAAGGCACGGATGACAATTCTATCAAGAAATCATACTTCTGATGACAAATGTGTTTTCAGAGCCGCAAGAAATTGCATAAATCTCCAGATAATTGCATGATGCAAGGTTATTTGCTCTGAAAAAAACATTTGTTCACTCATGTTGAAATGCCACTTGTATATATTTTCTTTATTTAACTTGACTTTTCCATCAGTCAGATGATTGATCTGAACCTGAAATAAAAAATATGCAGGCTATTCCACATGAGATTCAAATGTTTCAAACATTGGCAGGAGGCACAATGCAGAAAACATTGTGTGTGTGTATATACACATGTGTGTACATGTGTGTATGTTAATTTGGAAGGACAAATGATAAATATGAATTTTCTGTTGTTTTTTCTTATAGATTGGTAAAATTTATGAAATGAGAATGATGATGGATTTTAATGGCAACAATAGAGGATATGCATTTGTAACTTTCTCAAATAAACTGGAAGCCAAGAATGCAATCAAGCAACTTAATAATTATGAAATCAGGTAAAAGTTCCATTTTCTACATTAAAATTGAATCAAACAATATACCTGTTATCTTTTTGTCAAATTTGTCTAATATACTATATATTCAAGATAGCCAAACATAAATATTAGATATTTTCCTTGGTGGAAGTAAGTCTAATTGAATATTTGACTAATACCAATGCTACACAAGGTGCCAGATTAAGCTTCATGAAATGTTCAAACAAACAAAATTCATTAATTTCTCCATTTCACAAATACATGCTGGACACTATTTAAAATGCTGAAACTATGTCAAAGTATCCGTCTTCATAGTAAACAAACAAATATATAAGATAATTTAAAATAGTATAAAAAATAAAACCAGAGATGATGGTATAAAATTGTGTGAGGTGGTAGCTACTTTAATATGGTGTATATAAAAAAAAATCCTCTGGCAAAGTGAAATTTGATCTGGGATGTGAATGAGGAGGTGATAAGAAATGAAGACATAGATTTTTTGCAAATGGGAAGGGATCCAAGAGATGGAAGGGGAGAGAGAAGGGAAAGGGACATAAAAAGAATAAATATGTGCTGTGCACATGTACCAACTCCCCAGGATGAATACAATTGTTATGTATGGCAAACATGTACTAATAAAAAAATTTTTAAAGAGTCAGGTATGACAGACCTAGAATAATATTATTACAGAAAAAGGAAGGACAACAAGTATAAAGTTCCCAGAATGAGAGTAAGCTTGATGTGTTTGAAGGGCCGAAAGAAAGTCCATAGAGGAGGCAGAGTACAGCAGAGTAGTGAGGAGTGTTCAGGGTGAAACATCTGACTCATCTTGTACTCCATGACAAAGAATTTGAGTTTTCTTCAAATGAAAAGAGGAATCGTAACAGGGTTCTAATTAGGTTTAGGGTTTTGAAAACATTCCTCTGGGTGTTGGGCAGAGAACAGAGTACAACCGGCTGGGGACTGTAGGAGGGAAGCCACATAGCCACAAGTAGAAACTTGCCACGTAATGTAGATAGAGATGAGATGTCGGTGAGTAGACAAAGGTTCACTGGTGGAGATGAAAAAAGGATCTGACCTGGGATATATTGTGCAGGTTGAAGCAATAAGACTGCTAGATAATGAAGGTATTCATTTTGAGACAGAGTCTCACTTTGTAGTTCAGGCTGGCCCTGGACTCACTATGTAGCCCAGGCTGGCCTCAAATTTGAAGCAATCCTCCTGCCTCAGTCTCCTGAGTGCTGTTAATACAGGCATATACCACCATGCCAAGCTAGGCAATGAATTAAAAATGTGAGAGAGAACCAGGTGTGGTAGCTCATACCTATAATCCCAGCACTCAAGAAGCAGAGGCAGGAGGGTCACTATGAATTCAAGGCCACGCTGGGCTACCTAGTGAGTTCAAAGCCAACCCAAATTGTATAGCATGACTCTGTCTCAAAAAACCAAAAACATAAATTAAAAATAAATAAAGTGTGAGATAATTCAGAATTTAAGGAGGAAACCTAAGATTTGGTTCCAAGTACTGATGGATGTGATAGTGCTATTAGCATGGAATGGGCTGAGTAATAGTAAGAAACACAGGAAGAGCTCTACTTGGGGCACTTAACACATCAGACATCCCAGGAGAGACATGGTTCGTAGAAGTAACTGAATGACAGTAAAGTCAGGAGAGAGGCTGTGGTTGGAATAGAAATTGGAGGGGCAGGAAGTGTCTGCCAAATACAGATATCAGTGAAAACCATGGGACTACAGGAGCTTTCCAAGATATAACTGGTCCTAAGCAACCCATAACCTGTTTTCATAAAGTGGGGAGGGAGGGAAGGCTAACTTCAGAAAACTGAGTTCTAAAAATTTCATTTGGACAGGAAAACTGCTATAAATCTTTTTGTAAAGGAAGCCTTGGGCCATATGGGAGGAGGATTAGTGCAGCAGTAGAAAAAAAGCCATAGATAATAGACTTGGGGTCAACCAGGCTTCGCTTGAGTGCCAGCAAGTAACAACCTCTCTGTGCCTCAATTTCCTCATCTGTAAAATGGGAATTATAAGCCATTTCATAAATTTATTATGGAGATAACTATAAGATTTTCAAATGCTTAATCCAGTGTTTCAAATGCAGTAATAAATCAAAAAATGATAAAATAGCACAGTTTAGTTCTAAGATGCAGTTTTTCTCATCTATTCCTTTCTGAAATACAGATAAACCTTAAAATTGATGGAATCTTAAACTTGATGAATGCAAGAGTAGATTTTTCACCAGTTTTTTTCCTCCTACTCCTGTAGGCCACAAATAAGTCACATATTGTTTTTATAGTTCTATAAATGAACCAAATACTGTATCATTTTTCTTAAATTCTTTAACCACAGGAAGATAAATCAGATTTGGCAACTACAACTGGCCTAGCTACTACATTACTGGCCTAGTCAGTCAGACTCAAAGTTGAACTCTGGAACAGAATCTTGAATAAACAAAGGAGCCACTCCCACATGTGCCTCTATGGCCCCAAAAGAGTTTTGTGTGGTGTGTGGAAGACTGCTGGGAATAGGAATCAAGACATCTAAGGTCTACCTCAAGCTCCCTTGGACAAATCCTCTAGCTATTTGGAATATTACTTTTAACATCAGCACCTGACCACATAAAGATGTTCTGGGCATCCACCATATGAAATAATGTACACTAAAGCGCTTTAGAAAAGCCTACCCAAGGCTGTATTTTAATACAGCTTTTAAATATTATAGATATATGATTTCAGAATTGGAAAAATTTCCATTTCTTTGTCTTTCATGAAACCCAGACATTCTAACAGGAAGAATTATTCCCCCAAACAGCTTTTCAGTTGAGATGAAAGTGGAATTCACTGTAGGCTTTCAAAGAGTGTTCTATCTATTTAACACATTATTATCATTGGGGCTTGTCAACACTTCTGAAAATAGATAAGGTATGAAAAGTGAATATGATCAATCTTCTATGGTCACTGATAATTAACAGTGTCCTCTGTAACATTCACTGGAGTCATGGAGATACTTTACAAATTAGGGAGTGGGATAAGTGGAGTAGGAAATAGCTCAAGAGAGTCACTAGAGCTAACTTCATGACTTCCACTCTGCCTTGGGTCATCCTGCCAGGGAGGAAACTTCTCTTGCTCTTGCTGAGAAGACAATAATCTTCAATTTGCTTTCAGCCACCATTTCTCAGGGGACAGATATAACTCTTATCTGGAAAAGACCCACAACTGTCATATCATCCTCCTCATCATCAAATATTCACTGAACAACACTTAAATGCCTGGCTTCTAGAGACATTAAGTCAAGCCCTCAGCTTTAGAGAGATGGCTTTTTGTCTCTGAGTAATTCTGGGAAAGTGTCCTGGCAAACCACATGAGTTCAAAAATAAGAAACAGGAATTCTCAGCTCCCCCTTCTGGTAACCAATACGAAATAAAAATAATAATAATAATATAAATTATATATAAATATAAATAATATACATAATATATAAAAAATAATAATATAAATCTAAATAATAATAATGATAATTTCTGAGTAAATATCTTAGAGGATAGGGTTTTTTCTTTTTAAAGTTTAAAAAAATAATTAGAAGATCACTCTATTAACCTTTCCCTCCCCTAAGAAACCACTTTCCTTGGGCAAGGCCTGCCAGACTGAGGTGGGCTTGTCATGGTTCTGACACATGGTCCTTGGTTCTTCAGCAAAGCAGAGAAGAGGACCAGAACAGTGGCCCCACCCTGGCCAGAGTACCTGTCACACACCCTGGAGCCACTAATGCATAAAAGTCAGACCAATCTCCCACTCACCTGGCTGAGAGATTTTATCCATGACAAATGAGGAGTTTCTATTAAGAATACTTTTCCTATTTTAATAACTTTGTGCTATTACAAAAGTCATATGGCCTAATATGCAACACATGGAAAACATCAAAAACTACAAAGTAATAAAACTTAAACCCATTTTCCCATGATCCTAGTGCGTAAATTTAGATAACCACTATGTGGTTATTTTATTATATTTCCAGATTTTTAAAATATTTTTTATATTTATTTATTTTTATTTTTATATTTTTAATTTTTTTCATCAAAATGGCCTCACATCTTTACAAACTCTTTTTTTAAAAAAATGGAACTGCCTAATGTGAACTGTTTTTTTAAAACAAATAATTTTTCTTCTACATTATTTTTAACAGATTTTTTTGTTTTGAGACAAGGTCTCTCACTATGCAGTTCAGGCTGACCTTGAGCTCACTGTGTAGCCCAGGCTGGCTGAACTGGTGGCAATCCTCCTGCCTTCAGAGTGCTGAGATTACAGGCATGCACCACACTATTTTTAATGGTTTCCGAACATTCTGTGATATGAATGCTCATCTTTTGTTGCCCGTGATTGTCAGAGAGGAGCAGTACTGTCCATGATAAGGAACATTTAGAAAGGGGGAGGCATTTGGGGATGACCTGAGAGATGGCTATTAGCATTTAGTGGGCAAGACCCAGGGATAATAAACATTCTGTGAGCGCACAATAAGGTAACCGTCCAGTCACAAAGCCAGTGATGTCTCAGTGGAAATACCTTAATCTAGCTCCTACTGTAAATTATTGCTTATTTCCAATTGGAGTGCTACTTTAACAGCAATGAAATGTTTTACCTATAAAACTTCTTGTTCCTGTCTATTTACTAACATTCCTTTCCCAGAAGAAGGAGTATTTGGTCAAAAGTTATGAACACTCAAGATTTTTGACACATTTTGCCAAATACACTCTAGAGCAGTTTAATCCATCTGTCCTCTTGCAAGGAAGGCAGGTGCACTTTGTCTTGTGAATGAGCCATTTGGTGCAGTGGAAGAAACAGGCTCTGAGGTCCCAGAAGACAGTTTCGTCCCTAAGAATCTGAAGCAAATCACTTAATTTCTTGGAGTCTCAACTTCTTCATCTGTAAAATGAAAACAACACCTATTTTGCCCACTCACAGGCTCCTGTTAAAGGCCAAATGATATGTGAGAATCTGTTACAGTATAAGGGACCATTTTTAATAGCAATGTGTCAAAACACCTTCTCTCTTTGGCTACAAAAGAAGTGATCCCCGACAGGTTGCAGACCCCAGTGCCTGAGGCCTTGTAAGTGAAGGAGGAGGGAGGCCCAAGTGTAGCAACCTTAGTGTTGAGGTGTGTCAGGGAGCAGTGAAGCTCACAGCAGTAGGGAAATCCACGCATAGTCTAATGTAAGCGATGCTACCCAGCTTCACATCATTTTTTTTCCTTTAAAAATATAGAGGCCTCAACCAATAACAAATGCTGGCGGGGCTGTGGGGAAAGAGGAACACTGCTCCACTACTGGTGGGAGTGCAGACTGGTGCAACCACTGTGGAAATCAGTATGGAGATACCTCAAAGAACTCAGTCTGGAAGTCCCACTTGACCCTGCTATTCCACTGCTGGGGATCTTCCCCAAAGAATTAAAAGAATCATACCACAGTGATATATGTGCACCCATGTT